CTGGGAAGGTGGCTCAGTGGTAGAGTGCTTGCCTTGCATGCCTGAGGCCCTGGGTTCGATTCCTCAGCACCACATAAGCAAAAAGAAAATAGCTGGAAGTGGCTCTGTGGCTCAAGTGGTAGAGCGCTAGCCTTGAGCTGAAGAGCTGAGGGATAGCGCCTAGGCCCAGAGTTCAGGCCCCACGACTGGACTCAAAAAAAAAAAAAAAAGCTTGGGGACAGTGCCAGGGCCCTGAGTTCAAGCTTAAGGAGTGGCAACAACCACAACAAAATATAGATAGATAGATAGATAGATAGATAGATAGATAGATAGATAGATAGAGTTAGATAGGTAGAAAATTAATTATGAAATTATTTGCTTATACCTGATGAGGATTCTCAACTCCATTCCTCTTCCAAGGCAGTGTTCAATAAAATGAGGCTCTGGTTAACGGGTTGTTTTTTTTTTGTTTTTTGGATCAGTCATGGGGCTTGAACTCGGGGCTTGGGCGCTGTCCCTGTGCTCTTCAGCTCAAGGTGAACACTCTACCACTTGAGCCACAGCGCCACTTCCGGTTTTCTAATGGTTTTATTGGAGATAAGAGTCTCATGGACTTTCCTACCCTGGCGGGCTTTGAACTGCGATCCTCAGCTCTCAGCCTCCAGAGTAGCTAGGATTACAGGTGTGAGCCACTGGTGCCCGGCCTGGTTAACGGGCTTTTAACTATACCTGGGATTCCTTCCCCTATTAAGTCTTATTTTTATAAGGTCTTTCTTATTCTTTCCTCTCCATCAGGCTCTTTTTTCTTGAGTGGGAAGGATACTCTTCAAAGGATACTCTTCTCGGTTGTGGGGCTTGAACTCTGGACTTAGGCACTGTCCCTCAGCTCTTCAGCTCAAGGCAAGCGCTCTACCACTTGAGCCACAGCGCCACTTTGGGTTTTCTAGTGGCTTATTGGAGATTAGAGTCTCACCAACTTTCCTGCCCAGGCTTGCTTTGAGCCGCAATCCTCAGATCTCAGCCTCCTGAGTAGCTCGGATTGCAGGCATGAGCCACCGGCGAGGCGACCAGTGAGAGAATATCTCTTATTAGCTACTAATAAGAGATGGATATCTTCCTGTGAATTTAAAGTGAAACTTCCCTTTCCATTTCTCTTTTGTTTCTTTTTTTTTAACTATCACTAATTCTTTTCTAGTTCCTTGAATATACTCATGTTTCATTTTCTTGTAGAGTTCCCTTATCGTTTTTTTTTTTTTTTAGCCATTTGAAATCTTTGTTGTTGTTGTTGTTGTTATTGTTGGTCATGGGGCTTGAACTCTGGGCCTGGGTGGTGACCCTCAGCTCTTCAGCTCAAAGTGAGGGCTCTATCACTTTTGAGCCACAGTGCCACTTCCAGTTTTCTGGTGGTTAATTGGAGATAAGAGTCTTACGGACTATCCTGTCTAGGCTGCCTTTGAACAGCGATCCTCAGATCTCAGGCTCCTGATTAATTAGGATTACAGGTGTGAGCCACCAGCACCTGTGCAGCTAGCCCTCATTTTCTTTTCTTTCTTTTTTTTTTTTGGTTGGTCGTGGGGCTTGGACTCTGGGCTTGGGCGCTGTCCCTGCGTTCTTCAGTAGCCCTCATTTTCTTACCTGAAAACAGAGCAAATGATACATGGTCATAATGCAGAACAAGCTGTGGTGATGGTTAAGTTCATGAAAAAAGTATAAAACTTTTTAATATTATGCTCAAAATTGTTTCCTCTTTTACCTTCACGTGTTAGTGAAATACTCCAGGGTAAGTGGCTAAAGACTGTTAGGTCACTAGAGTGAGCCCACATTAGGGTGATTGGTGCCTTACTGAAAGGTCTCAGAAGCTTAGCACAGTGTACATGCCTGTAATCCTAGAATTTGAGTGAAGGAGAGAGGACAATTACAGAGTTTAAAGTCAGGCTGGGCTTCACAGAGAGACCCATTCCCCATCCCATCCTACTCCCAAAAAAACATACCTAAGAGAGCTCTCTAAGTGTTTCCACCAAGTGAAAGGTACAATTAAAGCAACAACAATAACAAAATAAAAACAAAAACAACCAGCTGTCTGGAAACTAGCCAAGGACCTCCACAGACACTAAATCTCCAGACTCCTTAATCTTAGATATGGATTAAGATAAGCTGCAGGTTCTTTGGACAGTGCTTCTGTTGAAACAACTGAAAATCAGAGTTTCTACAACCTTTTTGTAGGGTTCTGTTTATTTGCTGGAGCACTGTCAGGATGCAAGAAAACTCTTAGGTTTACTGGTTTATTACAAAGGATTTTGTAAACCTGGCACTCATGCCTATAATCCTTGCCATTCTGGAGGTTGAGATCTGAGAATCCGAAGTTTGAACCTACTCCAAGCAGAAAGATTGGTAAGAGTCTCATTTCTAAATAACTAGGAAAAAGCTGGAAGTGGAGTATGGTATAAGTGGGCTCCACATTCACTTCAACTTTGAGCAAAAAAGCCAAGGAGAGCATGAAGCCCTGAAGTTCAAGCCCAGTAATGGCACACGTTTGTGCACTTGTACACACATACATGGATATTACAAAGAATATCAGTGAATATAAGAGATGAAGAGCTGGGTGAGGTCTAGAAAGAGCCTCGGGGCTTCTACACCTTCTCTAGACCAGCCTCCTGAACCTGTGTGTTCAGCTTTCTAAAAACATTTTGAAATTTTGTGGAGGTTTCATTACGCAGTATGCTTGATTAACGTGGGCCAGTGGTGATCAATATAACCTTCACTTCTTACCCTTTTTAGAAGTTTGAGATGGAGGGTAGAAAAGACCCAGTTTTCTACTTATACTTTAGACTTGAGACTTGGGGGCTGAGCCCTCATTCTGGACATTCGTAGAAGATGAAGACTGTGTGTGTGTGTGTGTACTGTGTGTGTGTGTGTGTGTGTGTGTGTGTGTGTGTGTGTGTGTGTGTGTGTGTGTGTATATATATATATATATATATATTTCAGATGTGGATGATGATTGAGGGGGTAACAAATAGTCCAAATCACAGTGAAATTCTAGAAGCTTGTATCTAAAATAAGCCTTTTGAATGGACTCCCCCCACCCCTGCCAATAAGTAGCAACTTCTGACCCACACTAATGGAGATTTTATGATTAAATTTACAAATTCTTTGGTATACTCTTGAGCAGGCTTCCTTTCTCTGTACTTGGAGTTTCAGACAAGCTCAGTGTCAGGAAAAGGGGGTGTGGGCTGTTGGGCGGGCGCTCAGCAGCTAGAATGTGGTTGGCAGTCTCCTCCCCTTCCGCACTCGCTCTACACTGTGTGCTCTCTGGAATGACAGGCATTCCTGTGTGAAGAGAACCAGCGTGAAGACATATTTGTAAGGATCACAAGTGCCCAGGCCAGGATACAGGGAAACAGAAATTCCAGGAGATTAACTGACCTCATGTCATTTCCTGACGTTTGGCAGTGACACTGAGAGAGAATTGCTGGTACCCTCCTTATGTGGATTTATCTTTTAAGAGAAGTTTGCTTTCGTCCGGGACAGTTTGTTGTCGTGAGATACATCTAAGAGAGTATAATCATGGGGCAAGCTGATGTCTCCAGACCGGTAAATCCAGATGCAGTTGGTGAGTAATTGAAGGCAAAAAACCAAAAATCTTGGCAGAGGCAAAGCAGATTTACAGGTGAAGTGAGTTTTTTCATAAGAATTTAAATGCAAGAACTTTGATGTTCCTAACTTTGGAACAGTTGTAAGTTTGTGAGTAATGAATGAAAACATGTAAGTTATTTTCACTTAAGTTATATTAATTTACCACTCAGTTTTGTTTTAGTTGAAATCTTTGTTGTATTTTTAGATAATTGCTAGGGAGTTTCCTGCTGATTTCTTGCTCTTGAAGAAAAGTGCTATTGAAAATGTTACTTAGAATTCAGAAGTATCTTACTAGCGTTTTTGTAAAACTTGAGTAATTGCTAAATAATTGGTACAGAAATAAAACTGCTGACTTCTAGAAATTGCACCAAATTTTAGAAAACTGCACCAGTTTTTATACTTGATTATACCTTTTCCAAGTCAGTCTCAGGCTTTTCCAGTGTGCTTGTGTATCTGTTGCTTTGATGTATATACTTTTCTGAAGTCAGTGCTGTCTATCTGAAGTATTACTGTCTCTGGATAGCGACAGAGTAGGATGAGAATTGTGATTATAGCTCAGAGCTTTAAAACCTATAGCAAAATGGTAGTCCTTCACTACTGCAGGCACATTTTCCTAACTTTTGAGGGCTTTATATGTGAGGTAACAATCATAACTGGGAGGAGTGATGCATGTATGTAAGCAAGTGGGGGAAAGCCTGTAAATATTTTCTGGATATTATACTATTTAAGAAAAAGGGTTAGCTGGGCGCCGATGGCTCACACCTGTAATCCTAGGTACTGGGGAGGCTGAGAACTGAGGATCACAGTTCAAAACCAGCCCGGGCAGGAAGTATGTGAGTCTCTTATCTCCAGTTGACCACCAGAAAACCAGAAGTGGTGCTGTGGCTCAATTGGTAGAGAGCTCATCTTGAACTGAAGAGCTCAGGGACAGCACCCAGGCCCAGAGTTTAAGCCCCACGACCGACACCCCCCCACACACAAAAAAAGAAAGTTGTACTGTCACTGTGACTTATTGAAGTAGTAGGAAACATATTCATTCCCATGTTCCTTTTATTCTTGAAAGTGAAAAATGCTAGTCACTTTGAAGAAAAGCATAAAAATAGGAACAAAGGCAATATACATAAATGTGTCTCATTTTGATGTTGCTTTTTCTTTTCTTTTCCTTTCTTTTTTTTTTTTTTTGTCAGTCATGGGGTCTGAGCTCTGGGCCTGGGCGCTGTCCCTCAGCTCTTCAGCTCATGGCTAGTGCTCTACTACTTGAGCCATAGCACCACTTCTGGCTTTTTCTCCTTACGTGGTGCTGAGGAATAAAACCCAGGGCCTCAAGCTGGGCGCCGGTGGCTCACACCTGTAATCCTAGCTACTCAGGAGGCTGCTATCTGAGAATCACGGTTCAAAACCAGCCCAGGCAGGAAAGTCCGTGAAACTTATCTCCAATAAACCACTAGAAAACAGGTAAGAGCGCTTGCCTTGAGCTGAAGAGATGAGGGACCGTGTCCAAGCCCAGAGTTCAAGCCCCACTACCAACCAAAAACAAAAAAACCCAGGGCCTTGTGCATGCAAGGCAAGCACTGTACCACTGAGCCACCTTCCCAGCCTTTTGATGTTACTTTCTAAAGGGAATGTATTAAAATTTCTTTGCTTTCTAAAGGGAATGTATTAAAATTTCTCAGGTGAAATATTTATATGGGGGGGGGGGAGAGAAAATGACAATGTGGCTCAGTGGTAGAGTGTTTGCTTATCTAGTATACCCATGGCCCTGGCTTGCCCACTAGCACTGAAGAAAAGAGAAAAAGAATGCACAAAAAGGTTTTTGTTTGTTTGTTTTGTTTTTAATGTGCTTGAACTCAGGGTCTGGATTCTGTCCTTGAGCTTCTTATCATCAAAGCTAGCTTTCTACCACTTGAGCGTAGCTCACTTTTGGCTTTTTTTTGGGGGGGGGCAGTGTTAAGTTTATTGGAGATAAGAGTTTCACCAACTTTCCTGCCTGGGCTGACTTCAAACTGTAGTCCTTAGATCTCAGCCCTTTGAATAACTAGGATTACAAACATGAGCAGCACCCAGCTACAAAAAGTATTTTTTATGTGTTCCTGAAATTGAGGCACGTGGATCATGCTTCATAAATAGAAAAAAAATACAGAAAAATATAAAGAACCTTCACTTTCCAGTTTAAGAAATAAAATTAAAGACATAGAATGGTACTCCACCCTCTTCCTGTGCCTGCATTCCCTAATGATGACAGTTTGCTACTTTGTTCCCAGAGTCAAACCTCTCCTGTATTTGGTAAATAACGCACTTGCATGCCACTAAATTTTCCTTCTTCACTGATTAGTCCTTTTATAACAAGTATAGAAAGAACTCCAATAATCCTAAACATTTGTATGGTAGGAATGAAAGAGCTTTCAGAAACACTAAATTGTTCAGCAACTACAACTTAATTGTGGGTGGCTGTATTTATGAAGATGTCCATCTAATATTGTACTGTTGGTATACTTTATGCTTTTAAGAAAAAAATTCATGACTTTTCCCTAACAATAGCCCTAATGGAAGAACTTTGAAGCTGAACCTTGGTGGCTCATGCCTGTAAGTCTAGCAACTCAGGAGGTTGAGATTTGGGTTTTTTTTTTGTTTTTTTGTTTTGTTTTTGTTTTGGGTCCAGTCATGGGGCCTGAACTCTGGGCCTGGGCGCTGTCCCTCAGCTTTTCAGCTCAAGGCTAGCGCTCTACCACTTGAGCCACAGCGCCACTTCTGGCTTTTTTCTTTTTGCTTATGTGGTGCTGAGGAATCAAAAACCCAGGGCCTCATACATGCAAGGCAAGCGCTCTACCACTGAGCCACCTTCCCAGCCCAGGAGGCTGAGATTTGACGATCAGGGTCCTAATCACTTAAAAAAAAATAAAGTATGTGTAAATTTATGATTCTTTGCTATTTAACCCACATTAGTCTTAAACTCAAGATCCTCCTGCCTCTGACTCCACTGCTAAGATGATTGGTTCACTTTGCCACACCCTGCTAATTGTTCTTTCTTAAAATTAGTTGACTCACTTGACTTATTATGGAAGCCAAGAACTTTTAACCTAGAAAAATGTGCTTTTTTTTGGTTTGTTTATTTGTTTAAGACAAGGTCCCAATGATTTAGCCTGTGCTACTCTAGAACTCACTGTGTAGCCCGTGCTGGACTCCAGCTCATGATCTTCCTGCGTCACATATAGACTTCTCCCACAGGCATATTTTGTTTAAGGTTAATTACTTGCTATGAACTAGTGAGTTCAACTATTTTCTTTCTTAGAATGGATAAATTCCTACTCCACATTGAAATATCCAATTATTTTGGTAGCAGTTTAAAGTTCTAGTAGTAAGAACTGGTTAGATACTGATAATAACAACTCATAAATCTGCATATAAATAATCTCGCAAAAGTAAGGTTATTGCTGGGCATGGTGGTACATGCCTCGAGGGAGCAGGAGGATTTCAGGTTTGAGGCCAGCCTGGCGGGCAACACTCTCTCTCATAAAACAAAAACAAAAACGCTTTCCAGTCTTACTTTGCAGTTATCAATCAACATAAAAGGTAATTTTGTCTTTACTAGAATCTTGCTATTTATCATATTAAAATAGCTAGAATGTGCTTAAATTAGGTACGAAACCAAAGAATTAAATAAATTATGCTTAACCTCTCTTCCCAGCCCAATGAATAAATTTTAATGCAGCTACATAGTAACAGTAAAATAAGTCACAGATGGTAGCACATATCTGAGCTCTCAGCTACTTGGGACCTCAGGAGGATCATTTGAGCCCAAGTACTCAAGGCCAGCTTGGATAACAGGGAGGCCTCCATCTTGAAAAGATGAAGAGACAACAAAACAGATACACAAACAAAGCCAGTCATGGTGATGCATACCTGTAATCCTAGCACTCAAAAGGATAAAGAAAGAAAATTATGAGTTTCAAAGTCAGCCTAGACTACATACTGAATTCCAGGCTAGCCTGAGTTTACAAAACAAAAAACCTTAGAAATAAATAATGGGTGGGCTAATTAAAGTACTTCTTGGGAATTTAGAAAAAAATACTTAGTATTTATCCACTAGAATTGTTAGACATTTCTCATATCTAACAAGAATTCTTTGGTGTTAAAGGGAAGAGGCCTACTTTCTCCATCTGAGCCACAATTCAGGTACCTTCCCTATGTGTATGTAATCCATGATTCAGGGGTAGATGGCATTAAAGGGTTCTATCTGTTGTTACTGAATTTAGAATTATTGACCTGTCTTAAGTATTGTTCTTCCATTTAACAATAGCTTGTAGTTGGCTCCTCACTATAAACATCTATACTTAGCCTGGAATTTTTACCCAAGTATAAACATCAAGTTTGCAAATACATAACGTTTTTTCCCCCCATGCTTAGGATTCCTGTATACCAGGCAAACACTCTACCACTGAGCTACCCCTATCCTTCAGCCAGCCAGCAATACTTCTTGATACAGGTGCTGTTAGAATACTTTTTACCAAAGCAAAGAATCTTGGACCTAACTGTATTTTAAAGTACAGAGAGAACTTATCCCCTAACTTCTTTCAAATGCTTTGTCCAGTTTGTTCTAATCCCCAAGGGTCAGGCTGTGCAAGATTTCAGGAAAAGTTGTAGGTCTTCCCTGGACAAAGCCTACTTTGTTCATTCGTAACAGACTTTCATTCTGCAATTTTGTTATAATTTTCTAAACAGTTTTCTTTAATCCAATAATAATCCTCTTTCAGAGAGCAAAAATGAGTAAGTACAATAGTTCAAGGACCATAAACTAATAGTCTCCATTTACAAAGTTCAGATGCTATAGAAATACTGTTTACAGAAAAATTTATTTCCAATTAGTGGCCATAAAATGTTATATTAACAAAATCCTTAGATTATAAAAGATGTTTGTCATTTTTTGATATGGAAGAATATCATTGAACTAAAATTTTTAAATATTGGACAAATAAAAAT